TATATATGTAGTATATACTATATATATACTACGTATATACTATATATATACTACATATACTACATATTTACTATATATATACTATATATACTATATATAATTAATATATTAATATAAAATTAATATAAAATTATATATATACGTATAAAATTACTATTATGTTTAATAGTATTTGAAATATCGTTACCTTTGAGGAACTGAACTGGCGACGTCACGAAGCCAAGCGTCTACGTACCGGGGCAAAAGCAACTGTTTACCGACGTCTTCCAACAACTTGCTATCCGTCGCACTTGGACACAACGCCATCACCTTCACGCCGGTTAAATCCACGTGATACTGGTGCTGCGGACGAAACGACAACAATACAGACGCGGAACCGATTGACTCTTCCGGTGATTTGAAATTTTCGAACGAGTGAAATTCGAGCTCGAGGGAATTCTCGCGGAGAATGAACGTTTCTGTTGGCGGAGATAACGGTGAGAATTTCCTTCCCGGACGAGTATTTCATATAGAAGATCTCCCACTTCAGATTTGTAACTTGGTAATCATGCCGCGTGGCATGAAATTTTCGTTTCTTATCGATCGTTGCGGCTTCATCTTACCCCGAACGCTCTGGTGAAATTGACGATTGCCGCCTTGGTGGCCGAGTAAATTGGAACACTGGCGTAAGGGTTGATGCTGACGTTGCTCCCAATATTAACCACTATTCCGCCCTGGCCGCCCCGGTCCGTGCCCATATATCGCTGAGCGAGCAGAGTTCCACGGATCACGCCATTCTGCGATAATAATAATTTCAACAAAGAAATTTCTCGAAGAAAGAAGCCGAGGGAACCGTAGGGTTCTTTTCATTCAACTGTTTGAAAGGAAAGCTGTTGAATTGTTGAATACTCACGACGTTGATGTCCACCTCGAGCTCCCAAAACCGGTCGTTCATGATCCCGGCGTTGTTAACAACGATGTCGATGTGGCCGAACGTCGCGAATGTCGCTTGAAACGATTCTGCGGAAATTGAAATCGAACGAGCCGTATGGGAGACATGGAGATTGAATTACAATTGAATTTAAAACGTATCATCGTAATTACGATATCGTGCTTCGCACTAAACACCGGTGGATACGTTAACGTTGTAATATCATCGCTTTCAGAGTTCAATCAAATCCAGAATAATTCGGAATCTTTACCTTCGAATTGCGAATAGTCCGTGACGTCGCACTGGCAGAAGATCACGCGATCTTTCCCGTACTCCGTGGACAATGTTTCCGCCAATTTCTCGCCCTCCACTGTGTTTATGTCGCATATGGACACCTATGGGAAATAAAAATCCTTCTCAATGCTCGTGGAAAATCCGATTTTGCCAAAGATCATTCCCTCGAATTCCTCCAATTCGCGAAACACATGTACTGTCGAACGTCTCGCCGCTATCTCGTTTATACGTAACGCACGATAAAACGAATCAGTTACTGCCGTCAGCGTGAAATTATTATATTCCGTAGAAGTCAGCCTGCAGATAGGCTGAGATAAACTCTCTTCCGACGACCAGGCGTCTAAATATACGCGTGATATTTTTAGATACGATACGAAGCGTCGAAACGTCCACGGGACGATATACTAATTCTAAGTCAAGGTTACATCCTTAAGGGTACGTGGGGATAGCTCAGTCGAACCATGGACCTTCAACATCAGACTCTTAATCCACGGTTCGAGCAACAGCACGGGTCCTGGAGATCTCTCCCAACGTGGAGGACCATTTTATCGTCTTCCCTTCTTCAAAAGACTCAGGTGTCTTATGAAGATTTCCTCTAGGTAAAGAAAAAAAAAAAGTTACATCCTTAAGGAGATTTCGCGAAATGCGACTATAACCTCTGCTTCTCCTTATCCCTCTATTAATACAGCCTTTTTATAGCTACAACGTTCCACGGGGGGTAAAAACTCGTAGGTACATCGTAACTTCCCTTCAATGAGAAGGATTCAGCGATGCAAAAGTTTCTCCACCTTGGGATCGAGAGAACACCAAGGTTTCTTTACTAGCGCATCGTTTCATCCCACTTTGCATTCGGAATCTTTGTACTGGCTGGGAAAACGCTAGATTGATTTTTCGAATTTTCTTTGTTTTGTGTTTTTCTTTTTACTCACCATCGCGCCTTCGTTCAATAATTCCACGGCACAGGATTTACCGATACCGGAAGCGGCGCCCGTCACCAGGGCAACTCGCCCTTTCACGTCCATCTTCCACAGACCCTTGTCAATCGTCCGTCTGTAAATGGAAAAAGCACGATATCCATGGCTCGATGTTTTTTTTTTTTTTTTTTTTTTTGCATGAAAATGAATGTTTCGCAGTGGCAGAAATTATTCCAGGCGACATTCCAGTTTGCAACGATTATTACGCAGGAAAGAAACTTTTTTCGAGTGATTTTATTTTACAAATTTTATCTCGTCATTGTCGTTTCGATTGATGAAAAAGCTGTATCAGTTAGCGTCGAAGATCATTCTCACTGAATAATCTCTCTCTCTCTCTCTCTCTCTCTCTGATTAATCAAATGTTTTGCAGAGAAATTCGTAGGGGCCGGATCGGATTTGGCGGCGAGTCGGTTTTGATGAGCGCGTGCAAACGACTTCCGGTCTGCTGCGACGTGTGCTCGGTCGAAATCGAATTTTCACCGTCCTCGTATGTATTTCGTACTCGACTCCCCGGCGATGGGGGAGGATGATGCTCGTTCGGAAATAAAGCCGCGTGACTCACTGAATCCGCTTCGTACGAGCCGTTTACCACACACGCTTCGACGCCACACTCCCGTCATGCCGTGTGTGTCTATTGAACCACGTCGTTCGGAATGATCGATCACGCGACCTTTGGATTTCTTCTTCTTTCTTTTTCTGTTCGAAAAATTGCAATTCCCGGTAAACCTTCGAAAAAGAAGCTCCTCTGAAGCTCCTTGACAATCGAGATTTAGGTACTCTTATGTCGCGTAGACTTGCACGCCTGAAGTGACTTTCGAAGTAAAGTACCCGTCTAATGAAGAATTGTGCACGACTTTAAGACAGGCGAAGTATGGCGTATCAATTTTTTGCGTATGTCGGGGGATTTCGAAATTTTCAAAGGTCATCTTTTCGACATCTACATTTTAAGAAATATTTGAAATTTAATATAATGCTCGTCACGCGAACAGTACGAGTGTAATCAGATTGGACGGCAGACTTGAATTGGAGATTTCACTGTGAGAGTAAACGTGACGATCAATAGTTTTAATGATTCTTTCAAGTACTTCAAACGTAATCGTTTGGCGTTTCCCCACGAATCAGAGATTTTTATCTTCTCCCTGTAATTTACATAATGGAAATACATTCTGTTAACTACAGCTCCAGTCAAACGAAGCTTTCTTATGACCAGGGAACACGAAAATTCGTCGTTCAGAGACTCGTATAGAATGGGAAGTGTGCAGCTCGCATCTTCAATTCAATTCGAAGGAATATTTGCGACTGGAAGCAAACTTATTGTTAGTCAGAGAAGATTAATATGTATCTTTTGTGACATCGAACCTTCGTAAAAGTAAGAAAAAAAAAAAAAAAAAAAA